ATATATACATATATATATAAATTTATTATATATATATATATTTTATATATACATATATATAAATATATATATGCGTGTGTGTGTGGGTGTATGTATGTATGAATCTAATTATATTTTGTTGTGTATGAATCTATGTATCTATGAACGCATCTAATTATATTTTGTTGTGTATATATATATGTATGTATGTATGTAGGTATGCATCTAATTATATTTTGTTGTGTATGTATGTATGCATGTATGTATATATTTATGTATCTAATTCTATTTTGTTGTGTATGTATGTATGTATGTATGCATCTAATTTTATTTTGTTGTGTATGTATGTATGGATCTATATGCATTTCAAGATACATCTTTGTCGCTGTTTATCTATCGAAAGAGACACTGGTATTGTTTTCATACATTTTGATTACTGCGTCAACATGTGTCAAATAGATAGTACGTTCATCTCTACGTACAGTAGTGAAAAGGGTCTCGTTTTCCGAATTGAAATTCTGCTTCTTATTACATCTGAGCATTTACATAGGTTTTGATCCATGTATCTAGAATCAAGCGGGCATATATAAATACCAGAAGTTGAATATGATTAAAAAGTACGTACGTCTGTTGGCTCGATTACAGATCAGAACCGTGTCCTAGTAGCATGCCGAGATCTCAGGGGCCTTCGTTTAGTCTTTGAGCAAGGTCGAATAAATGGAAAACACAATGCGCAATAGTAATGCACTGTTACATAGTTTCTTGAAAGTGCTTTTACATAGCTTCTTATATTTATGTTAATTCACAAGGAAATATCAAAATCGTGTCAATTAGGTATGCGCATCCCATTGTCATCTTATGTATCCGCAGAAACTTTAAATTGGGTCATTTTATTTGGACCCTTGAATTACCGTATTTATCCGACCATGACCTAAGTTCAGTTGCGCCATGTACTGACACACATACATATATATATATATATATATACTTATATATTTATATATATGTATTTATATATATACATATATATATGTATATATATATATATACATATATATATGTCACGCCTACATCACACCCCAGCACATAGATAATTGGGCGCAAGTATGGGGCGGGGTAGTATCCGGCAGCAGAAGTATAATACCTGGTGACCTATTTCTTCGTCAAAATCTGTGCATCCGATGTTACTACCGAATCGGTACAATCAACCATGTGCACACTGGTCTCTGGTAGCTGTTGCTGGATGCCTTTCTTCTCCGACTTGCTATCAGGCGCCACTGTCATCACACTCTCTTCAACCGGTGTTGGGACCATCTTACCCCACGTCAAGACCGCCATAATCGACGCTCTGGCCTCGTATATGGGCAGGAACACTAAGGCAACGGTTGCTACGCAACCCCACAGAATACTGAGTATCACCCAGAATTGGAAGTACGACTTGGAGAACACGCCCGCGGGGATGGTCAGCACGGGCCATAGGATTACTAGTACCAGGGTCAAGCCAATGCCAAGGTACCAGATTAGCTTGGACACGCGTCTCAACTCGGCATCCTCCTCTTCCGTGTAAAGCGTGCCTTGGACATCTCGCTCGATCAAGGGGATCTTCATGGTGGTGTTTTCCCAGTCACACGGTGGCTCTTTCGACAGTAGAGACACGGTGGTGCAGATAGCCCCTGAACCCAGGATAGCCACTAGATTTGCAGCCATGATGACATAGTTGTCGCCCAGAGTGTCTACGGTGATCTCACCAAACTCCACCAACGCATACGACAGCCATGTGACGATAGCGGCGAATTGACCGATGAGGGCGCCGCTGATAGCTCCCTTGGCCGTACATCCGGCCCAAGTGATACTGTAGGCGACAGGAAATACTGCGCTGCCGATCATCACGCCCATTGCCAGATATAGCCAACCCAGACTGATACCGATGTGGTTGAGGGCAATACCGAACCCACCCATAGCCAAACCAAACACCAGGATAACCACCCGGCTCACCTTGATAATCTGCTCTCCGGTGCAATTGGGGTTGATGTAGGTACGGTATATGTCATACGCGACTACTGATGACACGCCGATGAGCTCAGCGGAACCTGTACTTGTGACAGCCATGAACAGCATGACTAGGATCAATGCACTGCCACCTGTACCCATTAGATGCTGAGCTGTGGCTGGGGGCACGAGGCCGGCCTGTGCTTCCGCCAAGGTCAAAGGCAAAGATAGACTCACATTGGCGAGACCGAGTGTCGTAGCTGTAGGAGAAGGGGTCGTAATTCAGCCACTGCTCCATTGAAATGTGATTATATATACATGTATAAGAGCTGCAATTCATCAGAGTATTCATATTCATGTAATCTATAGTGTATTACATGCAAATATGTGAGTATGTGTATTTGTGTATGTTTGTGAATGTATGTAATATGTACAGTTGTATTTATATATGTACGTACATGTATAGATGTACGTATGTATATGTATATACGTATAATATATATATTTATATTTATATATATACGTATAATATATATATATATTTATATATAGCTATCTATAAGTATATTATATATATATATAT